ACAAACACTGATGACGTCACCTCAGCCGATGATGAAACGTTTGTAAACAAATTGCCAAGCTCGGCGAACAGGCGAAATAGAACATATTGGTGTAATAAACGAACATCCACATGTTTCCAGTAGCATTCTATATTTCCACCTTCTAAAACTGTCGATTCGATCCATTATTTTGCTGATGACACCACTCTCCCCTGCTCCCTGCCCTTCTGCATGNAACCAACATCGATGGAGAGCTTGGTGCAATTAATGTGTCACTGGACTCCGATCTCGAACACTTCTCCTCCTGGGGCATTGCGAACCACGTTTCATTCAATAGTTCTAAAACCTCTCTCTTTTCGATTTCTTTAAAACATCATTCGTTCTCCTCCCTTTATCTTTTGATTCCACTCAACTGCGTTCCACAGACTCTGTTTCCCTTCTTGGATTACCTATAACTTTCTTTTTATGCTGGTCCCCTTTCATAGCTAAGCTTGCTGCGCGCAAGGTTGGATTTCTATTTCGCGCCAGACGTTTTTCACCCCAGCTCATCTTCTTCTATTGCACAAAGCTCAAATCTGCCCTGCTCTTGAATACTGTAGTCACGTGTGGGGTGGGGCTTCGTCTTCCTCCCTTTCCCTTCTTGATCGTGTTCAACGAAAGGCCATCTGGCTAATCGATGATCTTTCCGTAACATTCAGTCTGCAGTCTCTAGCTCATCGTCGGGCAGTTGCTTCATTGTCCCTGTTCTACCGCCACAACTTTGGTTTTTGTTCTTCGGAACTTGCCTCGGCAGTTCCTCTTCCTGCAACTTTTACCCGTCCATCCCGTTCACAGGTATCTAGTCATCTTTATCAAATTTCTATTCCTAGATGTCGTACCTCTCTGCTCCGAGCTTCTATTTTTCCCCGAACTGCCAAACTGTGGAACACCCTCCCCATTGTTGTTTTCTCCCCCAACTTACAATCTTACACTTTTTAAACGCAGAATCAATAAACTGGATCTTGAGTGAATATTCCCCTAATATCCCATTCACAGTACGCTATTTGTCCATGGGGATTTCCCCTTTCACCGTAATTCACATTGTGTAATAAAAAAAACTTGTGAGACGGTTATCCGGAAGAGAAACGTTAGTGGAAAAAGATAATCGAGGAACCATGAATCGAGACCATCTGTGCAGCTATAACAATGAGAACATTTAGGAAAGGTTAAAAATCTCAATTACATTATTGATATTCATGGCTTGTGGTGTTTATGTTGCCACTGCCTAACGATTCAAGTATTCGCTTCCAAATCGGTAAGCGATAGACAGCTACCGAAATGAGGACAAAAAAGAGTGTCAGATTCAAAACTAGGCAATCTGAAAGTGAGAGTGAAAGAGTGGTACTATATTTCCATTAAATAATTCGCCTTATGTTTAGGAATCCGTTGTGTTGTTCTAAATAGCAGTATATCTTATCTTTGAACACAATCTAGCTGGAATGAGAACTTGAGAAGGATGAATTTCACCAAGGAGTAACAGTAAACTGAAATGCCAACAATTTAGTATATGTATAATGAAACAGCGCTTCCACACCAGGATTTGCAACTTACAAGCAAAAATTCACCTCGATATACTTGATAAAAATTTGATCATGTACAGTGTCACACAAATCCCCATACTGATTGAACGACGGACACAACGAATACAAACATTACATCTGCACAGTACTTCGTCATCATAAATCATCAAATGGTACGGTATGTCTCAGTTAGGATTATCCAAACAGCACAACTGGTTAGGACGTTATGTTAATGACACAAATGTTGGGCGCGATCCCCCGCTCATCCGGATTAAGATCACCTTCCCTTCCCAAATTTCAGAACACTGTCCGCTGTGTCCGCTTCTTCTTCTTCCTTCGATAGCCCTAGTACTCTGGTAAAACGTAAACAACAAACTGCTTCCAACGGTAGGTTCATATTCCGCCATACCAGCTCCTCTATCTCTCTCTCTCTCTGCGGGATGAAATTCACCCTCCTGCTTTCACTGTGTGATTTACCGCGAATGATTGATATCGCTATAAATAATAGATGGATGTATCACAGTGCTTCTTCGAATCATAAGACATGGAAGAATAATCTAACAGTCACCACACCCCACACACCCCCGAAGATTTTCACAATACGATTTCACATCCATGGGAGGACACCCGAACACTTACCCCGTCCCATTGGTCTAGATTCGAGGGGAGACGAGGTGGCTCGGAATTGTTGCGGTTTGCTCGGATCGGATCCCGGTCCACCGGCTGCGCCAGCTCTCGGAGTCATTGTTGGTTTCACAGCACGATCTGCTTGGAGTTGTTTGATCTGTCGATTGGCGGTGTCCAATTGTTTTCGGGTTTGACGGAGCTCTTCCCGTAACTGGTTTCGCTCNGTTTCGCTCATCACGCACAAGAGCCCATTTCTCACGCCAACTAGCCGTGCAATCAGACCACCAACGCATTGTTTTCTCCAGTTGAACGGTACGTAGACGGGCCTGAACGGGGAGGGATAAGTCGGGGATTTTTATGAAGGGTTACACATAATTGAAAATAAGTTTATGTGAACAGATAAGTAACGGATAACAACAACAACAACAACAACAACAACAAAACAACACACCTACCGCCTGCTATTCAATGAGGGCAGTGTTGGATCGTTCTTAAATCAATGTGTAAAACTTTTATTTAGAAAACTCAGGTTCCTTTGATTTTCATCCCCTTCGCAGACGGGTTCATTGGTTGGTGGTTGGTTTACTCACCTACCGACCGAGTTAGCACCGAAAGCAGATTAGAAATGAATGAAGGGATGTGACCTTCACGGATCAGTAACATACCACAATTGAACAGAACACACGGCATAAACTTGTATGGCGAATGGAAAATAGATTCAATGTTACGGAAGCATAATGGTCAGCAAAACAGTCACAGTCCAACAGAACATACAGACATTTTCAAATTGGAGAATATGAGAACAGGGTTGTTGCTGTCGTTGCTACTGTTGTCAGATGCCTCTAGAAATTGCAAACCAATTGGTCACATGATTATGAGCCGTGAACTAAAATCGCCAACATCGTCTACTTCTATGCTGTCCTTCGAAAATCGAGTTCGACAACTAACGAATTACCCAAATGGCACAAACTACTACGGGTTGATGTTAGGTGTATCAGTATACTGCTTCACGCCTATCCACATAGTGGGAAGAACGGTCATCGAGGCGGTTAACCGTAAACAGCAGGCAGTCGCTGATGAACAATGACGTTATTTGAGTACCTGAAAGTTTTCTAACGACAAACGACCATTGTTTCAGTTTCAGTTTCAACAACCATTAACCATGCACTTTCGTGCGCCGGTTTTGGTTGCTATCTTTTGGCTGCCCATTTGGATGAAGAATAGGAGAAGAAAGGAAAGATGAAAGTGGATTCGAAAAGAAAATGGAGAGGTTCAGTGGACTAAGGTTGGAAAGAAATTGAGGACATGCACGAACGCCACTGTTTACGACACAGCCATATCACTCAGTGTCTCTAACCATCGGTTACGATCATCCCGAGGTCCCCAGCAAGGGAGCCTAACAGGATCTATGTGACCCAGTTTCCTGGTTAGGGTTTTCATACCCTCGTGCCAGGTCTTAACTTGACCACCCTTGGCTTTTTTCCACTCGGTATCTGCCTCGGCGAACATCGCTCACCGTGGTAACCTACCTGGTGACATGCGTAACACATGTCCCAGCCAACGTAATTTATGGAGGTCGACCACTTGTTCCAGTGGGCGACCGTATTTACCCAGAACTCTGCCCCTAACCTCAGCATTGCTCATCCGGCTACCCCACCAGATTCGTGCAATGCTGCGTAGACAGCGGTGTTCAAATACTGACAGTCTATCTTTATCTTGTTTTCTTAATGGCCAGGTTTCTGCACTGTATAGCAGAACGGGTCGAACTGTCGCGGCATACACTCTACCCTTCACAGACAGCCGGATGTCGCGACGGCGCCACAGATGTCTCAAGTTAGCAAATGCCAACCGAGCCTTCTGTATGCGAGCTGACACTTCATCCGTGATGCCTCCATCGGGTGAGATGTAGCTGCCCAAATAACAAAACTTATCCACCTGCTCTATTACTTCTCCAGTAAGAGTGAGGTTGGGTGATGGAC